CTAGGAAAGAACCCTAGAGGGAGGGTGAATAGGGTTTATGCTAATCTAATCCGATTTAATACCAATTAAAACTAATTAACAAGTTATCCTAGCAAGTAAGATATGCAACAATTATATGCAAGGATAAGCAATATAAATAAAGGGTAAAATAAACAAACTACAAATGTGATAGCGCAATATACACAAAGAGTAATACACAATGACGATATATGATAAACACAAAAGTAAATATGCCAATGACAAACTCAAACACAAGCAAATAATCACGGAGTTTGGACCTTCCGTCCTACATCTCCGTTCTCCACTTCCGGGGAGAAATCCACTATCACAACAGGTTTTCGACGGTCACCCGAAAACATTTACACCTCACACTCAGTTTTCTAGCTCACCGAAAACTTTACAATCATCACCCTTGCAATACTGCTCTACACCCTCTAAGTGTTGGTCCCTAGCCCGTATCTCCCTCACGTGCTAAGATTTATAACCTCTCCCTAGGCTTTACTACCGACGTCACTCCTCTTGGGACGACCCCGTCTCTCACCAGCCACTCCTCTCGGTGTACAATTGTATTATAAAATGATCTCACAAATTAAGCACAAATACAATGTTAGTTCTCTACAGTAGATGAGAACTCAATTAAGGCTTACTCTCAATGTCACAATCCCACAACCCCAATATATACTATGTACGCAAATACAATAAGCTCAATAGTTGTGTGTGTAAACAAAGAGTAAAACAAATATAAACTCAATTTAATCTAGGAAAAAATAAACATGACAAATTAAGCATAAACAAGCTAGATAATGAGTTTAAGAAACCTTCTCTAAATCAAGAGTGGAGGGATATAGATTGAAGCCCAAACAGGAATGGATAATCTCCTCTTCCTCTTGAGAAAATTTCTTCAAAAAACAAACTTAAAACAAAACCTAAATGAATTTTTAAACACTTTAAAACTTGTTTTTAAATACTCTTGGTTGGTGGGAATGATAAATGCAATATGGTATTTATAATAACCAAAAATATCAGCCAAAACCCACACAAAACGACCAAAAACCCATAAGAGAACAAAACCGGAAACTAGCTATTACTATGCAACGGTAATATTGGCGGTCGACCACAGAGCTATGGCCGGTCAACCTTGAAAGGCTAAAGAATAGAGCAAAGTCTCTGGACTTCAGGCGCTCAACCACCGCGACCAATACTGTTGACCGCGAACGAATATTTCAGATACACGGGTTTAAAACAGAAATGCTGATTTTTAAACTTAAATTAAAAATAGCAAACAGAGTCCAAAAAATATAAAACTTTGGAAAATAATTGTTAACATGATAGAAAATATGTTACAAAAGGTATTTTTGGAATTATGATTCCTAATTGTAAAATATCATCATTTTACAAAAATGTCCAAAGACATGAAAATAAAACACTCGTTTTTGTCATTTTGACTTAAAACTTTTGAAACTTTATAAAATAATTTTATAGAGTTGATAAAATATATAAACTATTTTTGTTAAGTCTATAAACAAAAACTCAATATTATGGAAAAATTCAAACAACAAATATGATTTCATTAAATTCAAACAACAAAAACTCAATATAAACTATTGGACATGATCATTGAAGCACAATTCCATCCATCCTCCAACACATTGTAAATAAAAAAACACAAATACGAGACAAATAATATTAGTTGTAAATTATTTGTTAAAACATCATCAAAACAAAAAGGCTAACAATCACCCTCTTTTTGATTATGACAAATAATTTACACAAAGAGTATATAAAATATACAATAAATCACAATAATCATAAATATACTCACAAATCCACTTATTTCTCCCCCTTTGGCAACATCAAAAATAGGGAAAATAAAATAATGAAGAGAGCGTAGGCTCCCCCTACCTATAAGCACAGTGAGTATAAAATCAAATAATAGAACTAGGGAATGCTCCACCTATCAAAAAGCCTTAATGAATATATGTAATGAAATGCAAGGCAAAACATATGAGCAAGTATCAATGAAAATATGCTAAATGTAACTCACATAAAAAATGACAATGAGGACACATAAAGATATATCAATATGAAAAAGTGTGTCTCAAAGCACAAACATAAAAATAATGTATAAATAGATTTATGAAATCAAAAGAATAGGAAACATGAGAACCATGAAAAAAGTTTTTAAATGAAAACAAATCACTCAAATAAAATCATAAATCAAAATTTAAGTCATAAAATCAAAATTTTCAAAACCAACAAATGAAAAATAAAAACATTAAAAACTTAGTTTAAAAAAATCAAAATGGTTTTGGCACCCAAACACTTGTGAGACCGAAAGATTTAGGGACATGAACCCTATCATTAAGGCTCAATGCTCTAAGGTTATGAACCCATTTAGGCGCATGTGGTGCACTAAACCGGTCATGATAATATGCATGTACATGACCCTTTTGATTGCAATAAGTGTAATGAAAAAGGCGCATTTGTTTATGTTGACCTTGTGGGTGTGCACGAGGAATACCTGCAAACAAAGGTAAATTATTTGAAGCTCTTTGCAAATATGAAGCATTCTTAAATAAAGGTGGTCTATTTGGGGTATTTTGCAAACTAGAAGCTTTTTGCAAATCAAAACAAAATTTTGCAAGATGTCCAAACCTACCACAAACATCACATTTTCAAATCAAAACAATATTTGGCCAAATGACAAAAACGTCCATAATAATCACATTTAAACACACTAGCATGCTTATGATGAGCATTTAATACATGTGCATGTGTATGTGATAAAGAAACTTAATGAGATGCACAATGAGCATTAGCATTCTTATGTTTGTATGCATCATAGCATAATTTAGATAAATAGCCATTACGACCACAAATAGAGCAGTTGTAAATTTTTCAATATTTGTGTGCATAATGAGTGGATGATTTTGATTTACTTGCACTAGACTTGGCACACATATTCATAAGTTTCTTATGATTATCAATACATATTTTTAAAGTAGAATCAAGAGATGATATGTGATCCTTAACATGATTTAATTCATCATTATGCATACAAGCATTGACACTAGAACTAGAAAGAGCATGATCATTATTAAATGAATCAAATTCATTTCTAATAATTTCTACTTCTAATATGGCATTATCTTTAGCATGATATAAGCTAGAAATGGATAAGGCCAATTTTTTATTTTCCAATTTGACAGATCATTATTTTTTTTAAACATCAAATTTTCTTTTTCCATGATATCAAAATTGGAAGCTAGCTTCTCATGATCAGATTTCAAAATGACATGCTTGCTTTTTAAGTCGATAAAATTTTTATGCAACTTAGTGTAGGCATGCATTAACCTATCATATGCACAAGCAAGTTCATTAATGGATATATCACTATCGGATTCAGAATCGCTTACCACACTAGGGTTATCCCCTAGTGGACGTGTGCATCATGCTCCAATGGAACTTGAAGAGGAAGCCTCCAAAGCTTGTCGGATCGCCTCCAAGTCCCCTTTATGTGCTTTAATAAACACTAGTAGAAAATCGACCAAACTAGACGGAAATTTCCGTCTAGGTTGATTGCAATTCCGTCTAGATTAGTTCATCTAGACGGAATTCCGTCTAGTTTGATTGGTTTATTTTGCTTTCGTCTATATTGTTTCAAACTAGACGGAATTCCGTCTAGATTGATCAATCTAGACGGAAATCAACCTAGACGGAATAAAGAATTCCGTCTGGGTTGGCAACCCAGACGGAATTCCGTCTGGGTTGCCAACCCAAACGGAATTTCCGTCTGGGTTGCTAACCCAGACGGAATTCCGTCTGGGTTGGTTTTTTACAACCTAGACGGAATATCCGTCTAGATTGATTCAATCTAGACGGAATTCCGTCTAGATTGTTTTTTTTTCAGGAAAAAAAATTAATTAAAATTTGGATTTCCCTGTACAATTACATTAATATTTGAATACATCCAGAAAATACTGTACACACCACATTCAACCATCCAATCATAATCAAAATTCATAACAATTCCATTCAAAAATCATAATCAAAATTCTATATAACCAAATCCAACACATTGTACAAATCCAACCATCCACTTCAAAATATACATCAATCAGTTCCGTCTAAAACACATCCAACAACATATATACTAACAATGCACATAACTAAGATATGATACACGACATGAATAAATGTAGTGTTATAACAAATAAAACTGTTTATTGCATTAAAAATAAAAAAACCTCATCCATCGTCGTCGGCGGGGGTATCTCTATCCCGATTACGAGAACGGGTGCTGCTCCCTCCAATATCTCCACTCTGAATATTTAATTGAATAATCATTATGTGGTGTTTGATAACATATTAGATAAAAATGAATTTATAAATATAAGAAAAAATAAGGTACCTGAGCACTACTCTGTCTAGCGCCGGAATTATCGCCAATCGAGCTAATGATCCGTATGACACCACCATACGCGCTATGAGGAATAGCACCGCCTAAATATTGTATAACATACCCCATGAGATCGTCCAACGAGTTCGCCGTCAGCGCAACTCTAGTCATCTCACTAGTCACCTGAATATGCAGCTCCGGATCAATTTTGTCAAACAGATACGCAGAGATACGTGCGACAAATGGCATAGCCTGGAAACTGCTTGTGGCTGCTCTCGTCGATGTAGATGGTGTGGAGGATGCTGTGGACGATCTGATGCTTATACCAGGTGAAGCTCCGACACCATGTAGAGGATATCTTCCTCTCCTATTATTAGGGAGAAATAAATATTAAACTTTGCTCTCAAATTCAATAATGGTAAACAAATATAAATAGTATGTAGTATTCAAATTGATTCGATTTTTCACCATCCTTACCTATTATGACCCATCAGGTTCTGTGTGAGATTGATGTTCTCCTCTGCAGAAAGCATGTGAGGGTCTGGCTCGGTTTGTTCCTCCTCCTGCGAAATGTACACAGATGCAGCCTCCTTGGATGCAGTCTCAAATCCCTCCTAAACCACATATTTATAGTTAATTCAAGATAATGACCATATTATTTGTGTTCTCGTTTCCTCATAATGTTAACAAAATAGAATTAATAATACTACTCAAGATATGTATAAGTCTCACCACTAACTCGAGATTTTTTGTGATCTTATCCCGATTCCTCTCATCACCCCTATATTGTTCACGAAAAGTACCATATGCCGCTCTGGCCCTCAAGTGTATCGGCATTAATGATTTCCCCTGTCATATTATAAATTATGAGATTTCATAATCATACTAAACATTAAGATCTTTTAAATCTTTAAATGACATATACCGTATCTTGACAATAAACATCCTCCAGATTGGCGTAGGAGTGTGAGCCCAAGTGATGGTCATGCAGCTTCTTTCTTCTATTTTCTGACCCCTTCGTGGATTTATTCTTTAAAAAAAATTCTGTAAATATAAAATGAAATAATATCTTAAAATTATAAACTAAATTTCATGAAACTAACCTTGGCGGCATCGCTGTCCCAATACATGAGGAGAGCCGTGAAATGAATCTCGTCAACTCGGTCATCGAGGTTTAAAAACCTCTGCCAGTCCTCCTCATACCTGTCATAGGTTTCATGTTTGATCTCATGCCTCCATTGTTTGAGGACTGCTTCAACCTTGACATTAAACACATAATTCCAAGCCCCCTCAAAGTCCTCAAGGCAGAAGCAGTCCTGTAGATTTACATACACATTTAGTAAGGATAATTTAATATCAATTACTAATTATTAATAAATGAAAATCTAAAACAATATGCACTTACCATAAGCGCAGTCCATATCGCCTCGTATGCGGTCCATGGTAATTCTCGAAAATGAAAATAAGGGTTGATAATGGTCGCTCTACGCACGAGAACCCCAATATATGCATTCAATCGGGCCGACCAAGGACCAACGGGTAAATTAGAACTATTCCACCTAATAATGGCCCTCATTCCTCTTGGCGGTTGTTTAGAATCAGGCTTACCTCCGCCACGTCGTCCCTCTATGCGATCCTTCTTAGCACCTACAATAATGACAACATGATAATATATCATATAATATACAAATGTGAAAATTAAAAGTATTTATATAATTTACCATTCGCTATCTCTCTTTCTTTTGCTGCGATTGGCCGCAAGTCAGTATGAAATGTATATGATGGATATGTCGGGGTCCAAGTAGCACCTACATAAGAAAGAAGAATCATTAATATTAAATTTTAATTGAACATTATCAATTATTAAATATTTAATACCTGCGTCGGGGGATGGTTCTGGTGCTGCGTCGGGGGATGGTTCTGGTGCTGATCCAGCATCTACAACAAATGAACACTATGAGCTAGATAACTAAAAATTTATAAAACATGTTAAAGTATTAATTAATTTTTATACCTGCATCCGGAGATGGTAGTGGATCATCAGCACCACTACCTGGGGTGATACTCCGTGAGCGATCACCCTCCAGGTCAAAGAGCCTCCTCATCCTCCTCCTCATCTGCAAATATAATAAAGACAATCGTTAAGAAAAAATTGTATACATGCTCATGAGATATGTTGTTATGAAATGCATTATTGTTTTTATTATGATAAGATAAAAATCGATAATGTGGTGTAACATATCAGGTTCATACCTACATCCAGCGCCACATTCTGTGCGTAAGAGAATTCTTGCCAAACATCATCAGATGAACCGATTGGTTCACTATAATTATCTTCACTTTCTTCAATATTTTTTTTATTGTTATTAGGAAGAACAACAGATCTTGGCTCCTTGTACAAAACCACCCAATCATACATGACATTCGGATCTTTCACATAGAAGCACTGATCAGCTTGTTCTGCGAAAATGAATTTCTCATCTGTATATACTTCTCGATGAAGATTGACTAGTGTAAATCCATAATGATCCTTTTGCTTTTTCGCAGGACACCACCGAACCTTGAACATCGTGTAAGTACATTGTTTTGGTTTACCAAACCCGTAAATTACCTCAACGATATCTTCTAATTGGCCATAATATAATATGTCAGCTAGAATTGGATTCTGATCTCTTATACTTGAAAAACATTCTTGGGCAAACAAGCCCATGACCCCACTGTTCTGAGTTACCCTCCTATCATCGGTCTCTAATGTTCGAAATTTATATCCATTCACCAAATGCTCATTATAACGTCTCACTTCGTGATAAGGACGTTGTGCATGGATAATAATTTCATCTGGTAATGTAGTATCATCAAGAAGTGATTTTTCAACCTAAGACAAACAATTTGAGAATATTTAGGCGATGTTATATTATGAATGTTCAATAATTAATTGTAAAACACTTACATCAAATCTTAACCAATCAGAAAATTCTTTCTTATGTCTTTTCTGAATATTGTGCGCTGCATTCCTACCGGTTGTTTCATTCTTAAGCTTCTCCAGATGTCGCCTATATAAACAATATATAAGTTTGTATTGATAAACTATATGTAAAATGAATATTTCTCATCTATATTACAGTTTTTATTTGTTACCTTCGATAGTCTTCGAACATATCAAGGTTTTCCAACACATATGCATGAATTTGATCTAAGAGAGATCTAAGGTATTTTTCACGCTTCCTCTTCTTTTGAGGTGCTTGAGATGTGGTTTTCTTCTTACGCATGTAACGTGATGCAAACACAAAGTATTCGTTAGCGACGTATCCTTCAGCTATCGAGCCCTCGGGACGAGCTCGATTGCGAACATTGTTTTTCATGCAGCCCAAGTATCTTATAATCATAAAAGTTAATTATTAGCACGGTAATTTGAAAAACGCGTATACAATTAATAAATATAAGAAAAATCATAAATTACCTTTCAATCGGATACATCCAACGATAAGTAACAGGACCGGCGATTCTAGCCTCTCTTGCAAGATGCTGGGTAAGATGGACCATAATTGTAAAAAATGAAGGAGGGAATATTACTTCCATATTGCATAGAGTAACTCGGACATCGGCTTCAAGTTTCTTAAAGTCATCTACATCTATGACTTTAGAGCATAATTTTCTGAAAAATCCACAATACTCAATAATAATCTTCGACGCTTCTTTATCCATGTTGTTATGGATTGCAACAGGGAGCAATTAATGGAGAAGAACGTGATAATCATGTGTCTTCAGACCTAAGAGTTTTCTCTCTTGCACCTGGACATTATTTGAAATGTTAGCAGAGTAACCATCCGGCGACTTTACCAATTTGAGAATTTCACAAACTCGTTGCATCTGCTCATTTGACATTGTAACACGAGACGGAGGCAACTTTAATTTTTTAAGGCCAACGTCTTGAGCTTGCAAATCATTTCGGATATTCAAAGCAGTCAGATCTTGGCGCGCCCGTAGATCATCCTTCGACTTGTTTGCATCTTGTAGGAGAGTTGATACTATGTTATCACATATATTTTTCTCAATATGCATAACATCTAAGTTGTGTCGGACTTTTAGATTCTGCCAGTAGGGTAGCTGAAAGAAGATACTAAATTTAGTCCATCCTCTAGGTAATGTTTGGGCTTCGTCCTCAACTTGCATTTTACGGACCTTTCGCTTACGCTTCAATGGCTTTTTTAACTTTAAGTAATCTCTTACTCCGAGCGTGTTAAATTTAGAATAGCGTTTTTTCCCAAACACAACTTTTGGAAACCCCTCAAGTAATTGAACGATCTCAGTACCTGTCAGTTGACGCGGCTTCATTCTTTTCTCAACTGTACCATCAAACTTAGCTGATAATTTTCTGTACTTATGACTCAAGGGCAACCACCTTCGATTAAACCAATAACAACTCTTTCGGCTATGTGGTAATTGAATAGCTTCAAATTCTGGACCACATACAGGACAAGCACACTTGCCCTTCGTAGAGTACCCTGACAGATTAGCATAAGCTGGAAAATCATTAATCGTCCATAGTAGAATAGCACGTAATCTAAACGACTCTTTTAAATGGGCATCATATGCTAAAATACCCTCAGACCATAATTGTTTTAGCTCATCAATTAGAGGCTCTAAGTAGACATCAATATCATTTCCCGGAGCATGCTTACCGGGTATCAGTAATGAAAGTATCATAAACGGCTGTTTCATACAAAGCAATGGAGGTAAATTATATGGCATTAATACAACTGCCAACGTAGACCAGCCAGAGCTCATTACCCCAAATGGATTGAATCCGTCGCTTGATAGACCCAGTCTTACATTTCTGCAATCTTCGGCAAAACGAGGATAAATTTTATCAACATGCTTCCAAGCTAAAGCATCAGCAGGATGTCTCAATTTACCATCGTCTACTCGATCATCCTTATGCCACCTCATATTCTTTGTTGTTTCCTTGTTCATGTATAATCTTCGCAATCTAGGAGCCAATGGAAAATGTTGAAGCACTTTGACTAGAATTTTCTTCTGTATTATCCCTGTCTCCGTTGTAATCCTTGTTGAAGAATTTGTGCGCTGTTTCCACCTAGAAACTCCACATGTCGGACACTCTTGAAGGTCTTTATTGGCTTTGTGGTACAAAATACAATCATTTGGACATGCATCAATCTTATTATAATCAAGACCCAGAGCAGAGACAATCTTCTCAGCTTGATAAGTTGTTTGGGGTATGCTATTCTCTCCTCCAGGGATTACAGTCCGAAGCAAATCAAGAAGCATTTCAAAATAATTATCTGACATACCGCTAAGTGTCTTAATATGAAGGAGTTTTAGCATAAATGAAAATCTGGAGTACTCGGTACATCCCTCATATAAGTCCTTTTCACTATCTTCTAGTAGCTCCATTATTCGCTTTATTTCTGCGGAGGAATGCATATCATCAATATTTTCGACACTCGCGACACCTCCTACCTCTTCAGCTTCAACTTCGTTATCATCTTCACTTTTGTCTCCAATATCATCCTCGACATTATCATCAACATCATATTCTGTAGGTCGAGGAAAAATATCATTCAACAATGTTTCTGTGTCATCTATTCGTTGGCCACCGGACGTACCAACATGCATATTTGGATCATCATCTTCAGTGATACCCTCCCCATGCCAGTTCCAGTATTTATATTTCTCATCAAAACCTGATTTTATTAGGTGAATCCGTATATCATTTCTATTCAGCAGCTTCAAATTCCTACACCTACAACAAGGACAGTACATAGCACCGCTTCTTAAATTTCTCGGATTCATTTCCGCATAACGCATGAAGGCTTCACATCCCTCCTTGTATCGTGTGTCGTGAAATCTACGATACCTAGGGATATCTATCCATGACTTGTCAGGAATTATCCTCATCTGTAAATTATATATAAATATTAAATACGATTAGTCTCACAACTAC